ATACAGCTTAGTTACTAAACTTGATAAATTACTGGGGAATTCTATGGAATCGATATATTAATTTATAATTTTTTGGTTATTCAACTGTATATCTAAAACCTACAAAAAAATATTTCATTTCATATCCTTCACATGCAAAATTTTAAAAGGCTTAGTAATCTATGTCAAGCAGCAAGAGTACAAAGGTTGTAACTGGAAAAGATAATTGTTTGCTTTACTTCTTTATTTACTGTTCTATGTTTTAAGAAAAATAAGTTTAAGAACTTATTTCTAAATAGTAATAATTTGTATACATATATAATGCATAATAATGGAAATGTGACTGTATTTTACAAAATACTAGTTTACTAAAATACACCTAAAGACAGGTTACTTTGTAAAGACTAACAGTCAGTTTTATAATATTTCATATGGTAACATGAGAGCACATGTGCCACATCATTGTAGCTTCTGTATTGTTAACCAGGTATGGCTGAAAGGTCAATATAATACAAATAATAAATATATACAAATGTATAATGTTATAAGATTTAAGCTATTTAGTCTCAATATTTTCATTGACATTCCTAACGAATCAAAACTAACTTTGTTAAGTCACTTAAAAGTATTTAATCTACTTCATTTTCAAAAAATTTTCTACTCCTAATTATATAGTTCTGTTAAGAAGATGCAGATGAGTTTACTGACTTTAAACATTAAAAAAGAATCATTTGCTTAACCTTGTACCTAAAGTATCGTAAAATACGAAGATAGTCTTCTTGAATTCTCTGTTTGGGCTCTCCTACAAAATTCACTCTTCTTTTTTCCAAGTCCTCAATTCCATGAAAATAGTCATAGACAGTCCCGTCCAAACCTCTCAACAAAAGAACATCATTACATACATCAAGTACAAGACTTAATATTGTATTTTAGTAGTTCTATTTCTAAATACTAGTTATAATGGTACAATATTTTTAAAATGGTTAAGAACATTTTTCAAACTGACTGATAAAGAAGGAGTTATGGCATTCATTGCACAAATCTGTTAATCTGAAGTCACAGTGATTCAGAGGAAAACTAATAATGATGTTATTGTTTGGAAGAACCAAGTAACTGGATGTAATATACATAAAAAAGAAGTTAAAATGAGAAAAACTTAAATTAGAAAAGCTAGTAAAATTCATAATATTCAGAGTAGATATTATTTAACAGATGGGGATTCAAGGCTTGAAATTAACAAATTAACAAACTAGCAAACTGCTGGTTAGTGTTGCAGTTTTTCTAATAAAGCTTTAAAGGCACTAGAAAAAATTGCTAGTACATATTTAAGAAGGAATTTTCACAGATTCTTACTATTGAAAATCAATACACCCATGCTACATGCAGTTCAGTCATTTATACTAAAAGATTCTAAGGACAAAAGGTTACTATAATTGGGATTAACAGGATTGTTTCACTCCTTAGTGTCATGCCAGCAAGGTTTTGTAATCCTTATTTAAGCTGCCTGGCATACCCAAGTTAAGTATCAGAAAATGGAATAGCAACAGTACAGCTTCAACTCATTTGATTGGTTGCCTAGGCAATTAGCTCATGAGCTAACCTGCTGACTTACACCATCTGATCTATACAGTACAGTTTTGTATTTTTAGAAATACAGTGCCCAAGTGGTTGCTCATTGGAGATAATAACAAAATAGAAATCACAAACTGTATATATTTTTTCCACATTTCTCTTAATTTGTCCATCATTAACACAAATGATAGGCCTATTGGGTTATATGCTTCACCAGCTTACACCTTCTAAACCATAACTTTTACTAATAAAATATTTTTTTAGTATAGATTGGCCATCAGCATTTGGGCAATGTAAATCTTGTTGATCCAAGCATTTTTGTCCTAGATAAATCAGTTTCTGCCCAAAACAAATATATTTTAAGCTTTGTGAAACATATCAAATAAAAACTGATATATGTATGTAAATTGAGTTATGACATTTGAAGATATCTGAAAACATGACACAGAATATTTATATATACATAAGTAGGATACATACATATTAATGTATATTTAATAGATAAAATAATTATGATACAGTTATAGTTAAGTTTAGAAAAAATAACAATGTTGCAAGTTCAGTCCTACATTTGCTAGTGGGGGGAAAATTACTAGCAATTATTTGATAGTGTCTTCAAAAGTTAAGGTTAAGGCCTGGGATAAATTAATGAAACTTAGCCATTTCACTTGGAATTTTTTATACTAGTTTATCATTTATAGGGCAATAAGTTTTTTCACTTTCATACTTTCAAAACATTTAACATAACTACTTTCTATTTGAGTATAAAATGCTACAGAAATGTTCAAGGAACATTGTTCAATAGTACAAAACTGAGTATCACCTATTCTACATGGTCAAGACATTTAAAAATTATCTGATGCTGTGTGAATTTCATTTAAAGAAATTCATAAAAACATCTAAATAATTACAAGTATCTAAATATTTCCATAACTATTATCTACAATAACAAGATAACATTGTTCTCATAAATGCAGTTTACAAGAATTTGAATCAAAACTCACTGCAATCACTGAATATTATTGAAAATTTATGTAATGTATTTACAAAACTATTATTCTAATGGTTAAATGATTTCACATGGTAAAAAGCTTAGTGAAATAATGAAAACATAACAAGTCATAGCTAATATCAAACTTTTTACTGGCCTACCTAAAAACATGGAATTGAAGGTCAGATCTCGTCGATTTGCATCTAGCTGCCAATCAGTTGTGAATTCAACCTCTGCATGCCTCCCATCTGTTTTCACATCTATTCTCAACGTTGTTACTTCAAAGTTTTGTTTGTCATTAATACGAGCTGTCACCGTTCCATGTTTTTCTCCCTTGGTGTTAATCATTCGAACCCCTACATGCAAATTAATTTTTTTTTTAAATTTCAGAAGCGATGTATATAAGTTGAAGTTATGCATGTCAAACTAAAAAGTACCAACCAGTTTCCAATATATAAATATACTTAAATACAACTAAAACACACTCACACATATTATACAATATTAATTTTAACAAAAATTAAAACTTTAAATTTAACAATATTAAGATCTTAAATACTGAAACTGAGGTCTTATAACAATTTTGTGGTATTTGTAATAATAAACTTTACCTTCTGCTTGAAAAATTTCTTTCATCTGATCAGGTGTTGCAGTGGTGGCAAAATCAACATCATGAGGTTGAATATGCATCAGCAAATCTCGAACTGCTCCACCTGCTATTCTTAATTCATAGCCATGTCGTCGAAAAATATCCACTAGTTCTTTGACTTCGGGGGTGAAAATGGCACGGAACTGAGGTGAATCAATTTTCATAGTGAATGGAATAATACTTGTATTCATAGGAACGAATGACAAAGACTTCTTTGGCAAACTATACTTACTAGGTGAAAGTACATGCGATTTGGAATGTACAGTCTTGAAAAACAAATTTGAGACTAATTTTCTGATCATAAGATACTCTCTGATGGACCAACTTTTATATTATAGCATACCCACTGGGCTAAATCCTTCTCACCATCCACCTGCAAAAATAACACAACAATAAACAGCTTTGTCATCTTTCTCTTCTTATTACAACTCCTCACTTTTCACTTTAAAAGTCCAAAAATCTGAGAAGAAACAATAATTCAAATCACCTCTAGTTCTCTTACACTTTAGACATTTTAGCTTTTAACACTTGAACTTACACCTAACTCGCAGCCTGAACAATCCACTAAAATTGACTGTTATGCAAAAAAAAAAATCCCTTACAACTTATTAATATACAATTTTGTATAATTATTTATGACACAATCTCTTAAACAGTCAAATTAAGTATATACTACAACTAAAATGTATTTATTTTATAAAAAAAAGTATCTTTTTTACTATACTAAAATATTATATTCAGTTATAGACAATGTATTTCTTGTGCTATAATTATTTAGTTTCACACTGCACTCCATTTAAACATCACACTATAGTTTTTACAATTATTATAGACGTAATTTAGTAATACTGTGAGATTTGATACCACATGTTCTTGCAAACAGTTAGTGAAATTGCCTACTGTTCAATCTCACTGAATTGGTTAACATAACAGTTAAGGACAATAAAGGGCATGTTGATTCATTGAGACTATTTCATCCACTAAACTAAGCTTGAAAAAATAAAAACTGAAGACCAGCCTTTATTATTCAGATATTTATAAAGCCTTTTCTTCAACTCCTCTAAATTTACTTCATCCATCACATCTGAAGGCAACCTATTCCAAAGACCAACCACCCTCCTAGAAAAACTGTGTTTTAGTTGAAGATGACTAACTCTGCCAAAATTTATATTTGTGTCCCCTAGCCTTACCATTCTCATCATTATGATAAAAGATGATCATCTACACTATTAATTCCCTTAACAATCTAAACACCTCAATCAGATACCCCTCTTACTCTTCTTCATTTTCAAGAGTAAATAATTTCAGAGATCTCAACTTGTCCTCATATGGCAACCTTTACATCACAGTCATCATCCTAGTAGCCTTCCTCTCTTACCTTTCCAACAATTCAAAGTCCTTCCTAAGGTTAGGAGCTCAAGACTAAACACAATAATCAAAATAAGGCTTAATCAGAAACCTACATAATGAAACTATAACCTCTCTATTTTTGTATATACAACCAAAAATTCTATTTGTCCTGCCACTAGTAACAGCACATTGCTTGAATGGATTAAGAGACTAATCAACCAAAACACCAAATTCTTTTTCTTCCTTAACAGTGTTAAGGTTATTCCCATTAAAATTATACTTATAATTTGAATTATGATAACCCACATGCATTGCCTTTCATTTATTATAATTAAAAGCCATCTCCCATTTATTCATCCCACTCACCAAATAATCTAAGTTCTTTTGTAAAGCAGCAGCATCCTCATCACAGTCACCAATACCAAAAATCTTAATAAATTTAAGTAATTTATAGACTATTCCTTCATATATGTCATTGATGTAAATCAATAAGAGCAAAGGTCCTAACACTGAGCCCTGAAGTACCCCACTTGTGACATTAAACCAGTTTGGCTGAACACCCTTTGTAGTAACCCTCTGCTTTTTTCCATCAAGCTATTTCAAGTGTTGTGGCTATTGAAGATTCCCTCATTTTTTTAAAACTAAGTATACACAACTCTCATTATCATACAAATGTTGTGTCAATCATAGCGCATATACTTATAATATGGAGGAAAGGAGCAAATTTTCTAACTCCACAAATATCGAAAGTATTCTTACAGATTTTTCAAAAGCAATATTTATGCCATTTGTATGAGAAAAACTTTATACAATCTCTTAGGAAATAGTTTTACTTGGATAATAGTTGTTTCCCTAAAAATTAAAAAATGCTTAATAGAAATACAGTCATAACAATAGCAGTGTCAATAACATATTTTATGTACACAAGGAACTATCTATATTTTATGTACAATGTTGCAGTATACATAAGGTATAAGTATAATATTCAAAATATATAGGTCTGATGTAAGAGATCATGTCACCCATTTCTTTGTTTAAATAAAACATTCTTACTAATCTATTTAATGCAAGGGATTATTCAACAAAAACTGAAATTATGGAAAATGGCCCATCAAAACCAAAACTGCAATTAAGAGAACAATGCAAAAATGTAGGCAAAGAGCTGAAACAACATTGCAGTAAGTAAAGTACCATTTTAGTTTGACCATACAAATGACCCATACTCAGTTCATGTTGGTAGGTTTGCAGTTTGTCTCTCATGAGTTAGTGTATTTTCAGTTAGTTTAGTTAAAGTGTCACATTTTTTCATTGCAAGTTCCAGAATCATTATTACGAACTTGTTTGAAGGTTTTGGGGATATTATCTTTTTATTTGCACTTTTTCATTTAAAAAAGTTTAAAATTTTGTTGGATAGTCAGCATGCTTTCACTATGGGAAAATCTTGCCCTACTAATCTTTTGACATTTTTTGAAGAGGTTACTGCTTACGTAGATGAGAGTACAAATGTAGATTTGGTGTATCTGGATTTTCAGAAACCATCTGACAAAGTGCCACGTACAAGGCTTATCAAAACAGTTATCTCTGCAGGTGTGAGTGATAAGTTAGCTCATTAGACAGAAAACTGGCTTGATGGACAAAAGCAGAGTTCAGTCAAGCTAGATTAATGTCACGAGTGGGGAACCTCAGGGCTTAGTGTTAGGACCTTTGCTCTTTTTGATTTACATCAATGACATACATGAAGGAATGGTCAATAGATTATTTAAATTTGCTGGCTATGAAAAGGATTTGGATTATTTGGTGAGTTAGACAAATAAATAGCAGATGGTTTTGAATTATAATAATAAATAAAAGGTAATCCATGTGGTATATCGCAATCTGAATTATTAATATAATTCTGATGGGAAAAACTTTAACAATGTTATGGAAAAAAAATTCTTGGTGTTATGGTTGATCAGTCTCTCAATCCATTCAAGCAGTGTGGTATTGCTGGTGAAAGGGCAAACAGGATTTAGGTTGTATCTACAAATATATTGAATACAACTGTAAAGAAGTCATAATGTCACTGTATAGGTCATTGGTTAAGCCACATTTAGAGTACTGTGTTCAGTCTTAGGTTCCTTACCTTAAAAATGATACTGAATTGTTGGAAAAAGTTTAGAGGAGGGCTACTAAGATGATATCTGGGATGGAAAGGTTAAAATGTCTGAACTTTTTTTTCTCTTTAAAAACCAAGAGTTAGATGAGATCTGATTGAGGGGGGATTGTTAAGGGAACTGATAGTGTTGTTGCCTCTTTTTATTTAATGGTGAGAATGGTAAGATTAAGGGACACATATAAATTTCAGCAGGTTAGGAATCATCTTCAGCTAAGACAACTTTATTTTTCAAACAAGATGGTTGGCCTTTGGAACAGGTTACCTTCAGGTGTGGTAGATGCAATTAATTTAAAGGAAAGCTTGAAAATATTTGAATGATAAGAGATGGCTTTGAACTGTTTAATATAGTAGATAGGATGGCCTAGATAAACAAAGAGATTCCTTGTTGTTCTTTAAAATTATTTTATTACATTGTTCATACTGTGTATGTGGCTGCACAGCTCATTGTATATGTGAAGAATAATTTTTTGAAGCTTGGAAACCCTATAAATCACCTTGTATAATGGGATATTCCAAATTAATAAATAACAATTTAATTCCTATGTACATCTCAAAAACATATTTTGAAATAATGTAACAAGTTCCAATTTATACTCCAACTAGTATTTAATGATGGGTAAAGAGGGTGGTAACTCAGTAAAGACACTGAGTATGTATAAATGGGCCCCCCATAAAATTTAGAAGTCCCAGGGACCCCATCAGTTAATCTGATTATAGTATTAGTAACAGAACAAAATTCACATCTAAGATATTTTACATTTATTAATATCAAATGGTTCAGTGTATATATTGTTTTATTTTTTACTTTCCTGTGCACTACTCAGTAGACTCTATGTAATTTTTGTACTAAAATTATTTTATTTGACATCACACGCATATAAAATTAAAATAGTAACAGTAACAACAACGAGCAACTTTCATATTTACGTTTTATGTACGAAATTTTACAATGTGATTAACAGAACCAGTAGTAATATACTAGTATAAGATTACATATATTTGTACTATTAATAACAGTACAAATAGTAGTATTATTTAAACTTTTATAAACCTTAAGTAAAAACGAGTAAAAATATTGTGTTGATGTATACTGTACATTGTACAGTACTACTGCAACAACTTCGCAAATTCTATAGTATAAATTTTAGAGTTATATACCTTTTCTTACAACATACACAAAGTTTACTAATTTTACAATAACTAATACTAAGAGTAACACTATAATATTAACAGATAATTTGTTATCTAATGTTTTAATTATCTACAAAATCAACTTAGTTAGTTATGGTATAATACCACTTTCAATCACGTTGCTGTATACGTGCGCCATCTAATAGAAAAAGAAAGACTAGATTCTTATAATTAAAAACAATATAACGCTAGTTAATGGTTATGCAGCGTTCTATTTTCTTTAAGGGTTGTTTTGAATTATAAATATGTTCTACTTCATCGTAAGTTTAATCTTGCTGTCTTTAGCACAGTCATTCCGTTTGATGTAAATATTAACTATTTAAATAATATTTATGTTTACATTACACACACATAATGCCCCCCTGTGGCACAGCGAATTTACAACGCTATAAACCTGGTTTCGATACTCCTGGTGTGCAGCGCACAGATAGCCCATTGTGTAACTTTGTGCTTAACTACAAACTAACCACACATAATACATAAATATATATAGATCCAGTTATAAAAAAATAAAAAGGAGAAGGAATTGTTACTTTAAAGAATAAGTTTTGTATAAAAAGGCTTTTTTCTTTTCTTGTCTTTATTGTCGCTTTTGAATCATATTTGAAAGCTATTTGTCACTAAACTTTCAAAAGAAAACATAATTTATATTTTCTGAATAATTACACATTCTTTCTTAGTTTATGGCAATCCCACTCTCCGGTGACTTAGTGTTAAGTCTGGGGGCTTATGAAGCAGAGCACAGATAGCCCATTGTGTAGCTTTGTGTTTAACAACAAATAAGTAAGGTGACGGCTTAAATTGGTAATGAAGAAAAACTTTAATATAAGTTTAACATAACAGCAAATGTACAACGTTTCGACAAGGTTTGGTTGTTCTTCATTACCATTTCAAGCCGTCTCCAAGCATTATTAGTCTTGTTACGACAGCGGAAGTCATGTGACGCTAGTAACACGTCATGAGCTTCTAGAAAGATCATATCCGTTCGCGAAGTCTCGAGTGTTCTCCAGATGTACGCTTTTTGTATATATAAGACCGGTAAAAAGTGACGGCAACAATTTAACAGCAGACAGGCAGAGATAGAGACGGACAATTGAGTCAAGTGCGGTAGTGACCGTAAGTAAGTGCGTGAATCATTGTGAATTATAGCGTGTGTTTAAAGTGACTGTGCAAATTAAGTGTATTGCAAAGTTCTATCCAGAGAAAAATAAACTAGTTTTATTTACGAAAGGACCTGTATCGCTAAAGTTTCTTCGGAAAGAATTTTTACGGAAAATTAACAAACGACTAGAGACGTAACAAATTGGTGTTAGAAGTGGGATTTAGAAAAAAAGAGAAAAAAAGAAGAAGATGGAAACGAGAAATGGCAAATCAAACTACAGCTTAGCAGATTTGATGGCAGCAATACAAGAACAGCAAAAGAAACAAGAAGAACGAGAAAAGTAAACAAGAGAGATTACAGCAGTTGTTGGAGGAAAAAGAAAAGAAACAAGAAGAACGAGAAAAGAAACAAGAAGAGAGACAACAGCAGTGGCAAGAAAATCTGCAACAGTGGCAGCTCGAACAGCAAAATAAATAAAAGAGATTACAACAGCTGTTGGAGGAAAAAGAAAAGAAACAAGAAGAGGGACTACAGCAGAAGTACAAATGGAAAACATTAGTAAATTTCAAAGCGAATTAAATACATTAAAGGATGACTTATTGTCTTTTACACAAGGAGGATACATTAACAATCGACTTAATCAGCCCCAGACAACGGCAAGCCCCTTCCAGACCCCGCAGCTAAATCCTAATGCAAACATCTTCAGTCTTGTTAGAAGTCACATCCCAGATATGAATGTCAGTAATAGGAGTGCTCCAGTACGAAGGAAGCCATAGGAATTCGATGGGAAGGCACCATGGGAAGCATATAGAGCACAATTTGAGCTATTGGCAGAAATGAATGGATGGACAGAGGAGCAGAAAGCAGTGTACCTGGCAATGAGCCAGAAGGGACAACCACTGGAAATACTTGGACAGTTGACAGCAGCCGACAGACACAACTATAGAACACTGGTAGCACCTTTAAAACTCAGGTGCGGAACCCAAAATCAGTCGGAAGTCTACAGGGCTAGGTTTAGGACGAGAGTCCGTGCTAAAGGGGAGAGCCTGCAAGAGCTGGCACAGGACTTGGAAAGTATGCCACACAAGGCCTACCCAACTGCACCACCTGATCTCCTCAAGTTCTTGCTGAGGGATCAGTTTGTAGACGCCTTGGACAGTCCACAACTAAAGGTACAAGTGAAACAAGCACACCCCTCTACTATGCAGGATGCAATGAAGAAGAAGAAGAAACTGCCAGTTATTTAGATTTAACAATAATTGTTTCCGAAGGAAACAATTATCAATCTAGGGTGTTCGAAGATTAAACAATCCTCCTTCACCCTGCTCGTGGTAAAAGGTTGTATGACAATTAGGGGTCAGCGGAGTACTGAGCCGAGTGGGTTAATGGTAATTAATTAAACAAGAGGAGAGAATAAAAATTAAAAATTTTCAAAACAAATTTTAAAAATCTAGAATCTTTTGAAAAGAGTGAAGCAAAATATCCTATCTTAGGGCTTTAGTAATAATAATAA